CTTGAGGGCCTTGTGGCAAGTGAAATGAGCCAGACAGAGAAAAGACAAATACCACATGGTATCACTTATATGTGGAATCTTAAAAAAAAAATCAAACTCATAGAAACACACAGTAGGAAAAATGGTTGCCAGAGGCAGGGAGGTGGGGTAAGTAGGAAGAGATTAGTAAAAGGGTGCAAACTTTCCATTATATGATGAATAAGGTCTGAAGATCTAATATACAGCAGGGTGACTGTAGTTGATAATAGTGTATCAGACCACTGAAATTTACTGAGAGAGTAGACCTGAAATGGTCTCACATCCACACACACACACACACAAAAAGATAAATATGTGAGGTGATGGATGTGCTAATTAGCTAGCTGGAGAGAATCCTTTCACAATGTATACATACATCCAATCACCGTGATGTACACTTTAACTGTCTTACAATTTTACATGTCAATGATACCTCAAAAAAGCTGAAATTAAAAAAAAAATTACAGATGCTTGAATCCCAGACAACGCAACCAATAAAAGAAAAAGGTGGGGGGAAGGGTTCAGCACACTCTTCTGTATATATATTATACTCCATAAAGTGTTGAAAAGCAAAACTTCAAAAAAGGAAACTAAAATCAATCCATACATGCCTATTAAATAGGAAAAATGGAGTCTTGAGGTAAAACTGTCTTCAATGTGTTAAGGTGAAAAAAAAGCACAAGATAGACCAGTTTACACTGCTTGCTTGCCTGTATTTCTGGATTTATTTATAAGGGCATATAAATACACACACATTTGCCTGCGGACTCACAGGCCATCTCCCAGAGAAGGCACATGACATCGTCACAGCGGTTACCCCCAGGGAGGGGACCTGAGTTAGGGGGAACAGGTGACAGGGGGCCAGACATTTTATGGTGTACCCTTGGGAGGACGGTTTGAAATTTTTAGCTCATATTACCAATTCAAAAATTTTACAAAGATGTGAAAAATTAAATAAAAAGTAACAAATCACCGGACTTCTAATTGTAAGCTTGTTCCTGTAATCATAGTAATGAATAGTATCAATAATATAAATAAACAATAACACTGATTACATATCTACGTTATTATTCAACATATCATCATTAAATAAATTTATATTAAGAGTAAACATATTTAAGTTTTTCATAAAGAAATGAATATTAAGAATCAATATATTAATGTTACATATGTATGTATGCAGCATATATATTCATATAATGCTCTGTTCTGGTGATACCTCGTTGGTTTCTGCCATCCAAAACTGACAGTCTGATGAAGGAGACAGAAGAAACGAGACAGTGTGAACGCAGGGTAGCAGACCGTTGATGGGAAGATAAGAAAGCCGGAGTGACTTCATTCCTTTTCCTGAATGAGATTTCAGTGCCCACTCAGTTCTGGGCCAGATCTCGGGGTCCACTTGGACTTCAGCAAAACCGCACCAAATCCTCTGCCCAAATGAAGTGTGGCCATAAAACCTTTAGAAACCAGGTGTTCAAACCACAGAAGACAAAGCCCTGAAAAAACTGGGTCCTCTCTTCGCCGAGGAGCTGTCGGAGCGGAAATGTTAGCCCTCTGTGAGGACCTGAAAGATCTTGGGAGGAAGTGGCCCCCACAACTTGCCTTGCTGGCTCAGCAGTTTGCCATCTCCCCAGGGACGTGGGGGCGACGGTAATATCAAGGCTGCAGACATATCCGGCTGTCTGTTAGGGGGACCGTGGCTCCTAGACAAAGGTGATGTCCCCAGGGACACACAGACACCCACAAGTGACTTCCACCTCCTCCCCCACCACCTCCTGCTTCTGGGGCAACATGCGGTCTCTGCCGGCTCAGCTGAGGGAACAGGTTGGAGAACTAGGAAACACTGGTCTAGACTCCTGGATGGTCTGGGAGGTCAAGGCAAAAGCTAAGCCCCACCCTAGAGTTCAGTTGGGGTCCCTGAGTGAGAGAACAGTGGAAGAGGAAGGAAACGGGGCCCTTTTCTTGGGGAGCTCCCAAGCAAGAGAAAAGAAGAAAAGGAAGAGGCTAGGGCCAGCCTCCACTAATTACAGGGCCACCGACAGTAATGGCTAACGCTCACAGACACAGACAGTGCTGGGTGTGGCTCTATGAATCCTCACAACCCTAGGAGGTGGGTATTATTATTATCATCATTCCATTTTTTTTAATAGACATTGTATTTTAGAACAGTTTTCGGTTCACAGCAAAATAGAGCAGAAAGTACAGAGATGGCCCAGAGACCCCCTCCCCACCCACATGTATAGCCTCCCCCATTGTCAGCTTCCCCCATCAGAGTGGCATATTTATTACCACTGATGAACCTACACTGACACATCATTGTCACACCAAATTTCTGATGTTGCACGTTCAATGGGTCTGTGTAATGACATGTACCCACCCTTATAGTATCTTAATTGTTTCACTGCCCTAAAAATTAGCCTCTAAATTCTGCCTAGTCATCCCTCCCTCCTCCTTAACCACTGGCAACCACTGAGCTTTTTACTGTCCCCATAGTTTTGCCTTTTCTTCATCACCCCATTTTAAAGATAAGGAAACTGAGGCACAGGGTTGTGGCAGGGTGTAGACTAGAGCTCTCTGCCCACTTTTTCATCCCAAGTCCCGGCCCCAGTCCTGATGCAGTGACCCCTCCCCATCCCTGCCCCAGCAGTTTGGAATAGAAGGGCAGTAGTTACCATTCAGGATCACGCCGGTCATTGGCGAGATGTAGAATGTTCTCCTCCGTAATCCAGAGGTGAAGGAAACCCTCTGACCTCTAATCCCATCTCACCCCAAATTTTCTGATTTCCCCCAAGTCAGTGAGGCTCCGGACTGTCCTCCATCCTCCCTGGGCCTCCACTGCCTCCCCACCCCCAGCTCTCAGGTTTTGGCAAGAGGAACTGCTCGAGGAGAAGTGTCTGAGACAGGTCCCAACTTTCTCATCATCACCCCAGCACTGGGGGAAGGGGCCCAGCTGCAGAGAAGCTTTCCAGATGCTGATCTTGGCAGGCAGCGAAGCTGCAGCCGCCTCATTTCGTCCATCCACGGGCTTGAGGCCCACTTTCAGCTTCAGGGATGGGGTGGAGAGGCTGCTGGTGGAGGCCACTCCCTGCCACGTCTGCACCAGATGCAGTTTTAGCCCTTTGAGCCTGGGAGGGGTGGGCTCTCTCTTCCAGATAAGGGAGACATGCAGTTAGAGGAGAGGGGAGCCCCAAAAGCTCAGTTCTCAGGAAGCCTCCCTCCAGCATAATAACAATAGTTGAAACGTACATAATGTGCCAGTTACTGTCCTAAGCGTTTTGTAAATATCATCCCATCAAAAGCTTATAACATCTCCATTAAGGAATAAATAGGCAAGCTGCCGTTCATCCTCACATGGAGACCACTCAGGAATATAACATTTGGAACCTCAAGTTCTAAAAAGAAGGAACTTTACAGAGTGATATATAACAACATGGATGAATCTCAAATGCATTATGAGGAAAAGAAGGCAGACACAAAAGGCTACGTACTGTATGATTCCATTACTATGATGTTCTGAAAAAGGCCAAACTACAGGGACAGTGAGCAACCAGTGATTTTTCAGGCCTGAGGGCAGAGGGTGGGGTTGACTACAAAAGGGCATGGGGGGAGTTTTGGGGTGATGGAATCGTTCTCTACCTCCATTGTCCTGGTGGTCACATGATGGTAGACATTTGCCCAACTGCACATTGAAAAGGGAAGACTTAATTTTTTTTTAAATTGTATTTTAAAACAGACATCATTCAGAGTCTACTTGGGAAAATAGAACTATCTCAAACAGAGGGGATTTAATGCAGAGGATGGTCACATAGATGAGAAACCAAAGCGCGGGAGGAGTGAGACGACTTAGAAATTAACAAGCAGGGGGGCCACATCCAGTGAAAGAGGCTGCCAGAAGCAGATGAGGGGAACTACCCTGGCTTCTCTCAACCTCCTGCCCTCCAGTCTACCCTCAGTGCCTTCCACTGGCTAAATCTGGGCAGGAGGCTGGAGGCAAGGGAAGTATTCCATGCAGGGGTCAGCCTCTAGCTATGGGGCAGGGGCAAAGCAGGGGAAAGGATGATCTCAGGGTACACATGTTCAAGGCTGACACAAACCATATGAGGAAGGGGCAATTATACCCCATTTTACAGAGCAGTAAACTGAGACCCAGAGATCCCATTTGTCCTGCCCAGGGGTTCAAGCCCTGAGGAGGTCTGACTCTCTGCCCCTTTTTTTCTGCTTCCCCATGCAGCTGAACTGAAGGGGACTGAAGGGAATGGAAACATCTATGCAAATCAGGCTAACCCTAGGGGCTGGGGGAGGGGGATGCCTCAATGAAGACTCCTCCTCCTCAGGGGCTTGGCAATTACCCACAAACTGGGCTGCAAACAAACAAACACACAGCAGATGTTTTGGCAGTTAATGGGGGTATACTATAGACAGCTCCCCCCAAGAGGGTCAGGCCCCACATCAAGTGTGAACCCACACCCTGTATCTCCTGTCTAAAGGCAGTTCCACAATGTTCCAGCCTTGACCTCTGGCCTTTGTGAAAATCCTGGCACCGTGATGGGGGTCTAGGAAAGGCCAGATGTTGGGGGGCCCTCCAGCTTCCAATGTGTGCTCCCCAATTTTTATCATGCCCATGGCCCTCAGAGATCCTCTCCAGGCTGCAAGGTTGATGCTGACCCAATGCCCCTGGGGACAGAGGTCACCTACAATTGAGCCTTTGATCTACATAAGTGGGCTGGACATCGTGACCATTGACCTCCACCCAGGCTTGGATCAAAACAGTCAAACTTTGAGCCTCACAATGTGCGGATCTCAATGTCATTACCTCCCTTTCATTTAAGGCTCATGATCAATATGCCGGTGGAGGAGCCCTGTGCAAACTGCTTTCTCCACATTCCATTTGTTCAATTACTATGTATTGAGAACCTACTGGGTGCCTAGCACCTTTCTTCTTGTTAGCAGTGGGGCCCAGCAGTGAAAGAAACGAAGACCTCTGTCCTCCAGGCGCTGATGTTCTAGTGGGGGTGACAGACAAGAAGCAGGATAAATAAAAGCATGATGTTATCTGTTACAATGTGGTGAAAGTTCTGAAAACAATGACGGCGGGAAGGCAGATTAGATAGTGGGGTAGGAAGGGAATTGTGATTTTAGATCCATTGTCACCTAAGAAGGTGACATTTGAGTCAAGACCTGAAGGAGGTGAGGGAGTGAACTATGCAGATGTTTAGGGGAAAATGGTCCAGGCAGAAGGAATCACCAGTGCAAAGGCCCTGAGGCTGGTGCTGGTGTGAGGTTGACAGGTTCTGGAGAGGAGTCTGGTGAGGCAGAAACCACAGAGAGATGGAGGGGGAGAGTGGGTGGAGGTGAGAACAGGTCCTCGGGCCCTTGTGGGCTGCAGTAAGGACTTTGGCTTTTGCTGTAAGTTACATAGGAGGCATGGATGGTTCTGAGCAGAGGGGGGAAATGATCTGACTCAGGTGTTTACAGGCTCCTTCTGTGGGGGGAAAAAAGACTGTGGGGACTGAGGATGGAAGGAAAGGGAACTCAACAGGTCGGTAGGGGAGGGTTTGTCTGGGCCCCACTTACCAGTTAAGAAATGGAACTCTGAAAGTGCTAACCACTAGCCCAGAGACTTCAGAGACATCAGCCAATTAGAGGCAGTCCCTAGGTTCAAACCTGTGTCTATGTGACTCCAGTGCCATTGCGTAAACAATCATTCACTGGGCACCTTACATGCCTGTGACCTCAGGGGGATAGAGATCTTGAGACCCAAGAGACAAAGAGAGGGCAGTTTCTGGTAATACCCCTGCATCAGGGCAATAAACGAAGGAATTCACTCAAGAAACGTGTATTGAGCTCCCCCTGCGTTACAGGCACTACACTGGGTCCTGGGGCTACAGCAGTGAACAAGACAGAGCAAAACTTCTGCCAAGGAGGAGTTTACACTCTTATGGGGGAGATGGGCAAAAAGCAGGGGAAAAAACCCAAACCAGGAAATTATATAGGATGCTATAAAATAAATATTTAAAATATGAGGCAGGATAAGGGAGTCAGAAGTGCCAGGGCGGGGATTGCAATTTTATTTATTTATTTATTTATTTATTTATTTATTTATTTATTTATGAGCAGAGGAAGATTTATTGCAAGGTCAAGCAAGGAGAATGGGTGGCCTGTGCCCCCAAACCCTGAACTTCTGCAATTTTAAATAGGGTGGTCAGGACAGGCCTCTCAGAAGAGGTGAGGGATACAGCCATGTGGACCTCTGGGAAAAGTATGTTCCAGATAGAAGGAACAACAATGCAAAGGCCCTGAGGTAGGTTCAACATAAATGAGTCAATGAACAAAGCTAGTGGCCATCAAGAAGGTCCAGCCACCCGCCCCCCACAACCCTCCATCCTCACTTCTGGCCTTTGCAACTGCTATTTCTTCAGCCTGGATCGCATTTTCTCCTTTGGACACACTCCTGATGGACCCACAAGCCTTAGTTCTCAGGTTACAGCTTCAGAGAAGTCACCTGAGACCCCTGCCCCCATGGGTTAGGAGCTCTTCCCCTGGGCCCCTACAGATCCTGTAGACCTCCTCTCCCCTATTCTGATCTCTCAGCCTTCTCCACTGGGCTGTGAATATCTCAAAGGTGTTTGCTGGATTTGCCCCAGCAGTACACAGTAGGTGCTTAATAAATCATAAAGTGACGAAGTGCTGTTCCATTGTTCACATAAAATCTAAATTCCCTTGCATGGGATAAACTTGTAAATCTGCCTGTAAAACCACAAGATGGTTCTTGGAGAAGATAAACAGCTGGTGTCAGTCATGGATTCTGGGAGCGGAATAGGGTGTGTGGCAGGCAGTGCAGGGAACAGAGGTTAGAGGAGACAGACACTTCACTCTAGTTATCTTTTCATAGGCTTTGAAATTTTCTTACTAGCTGCGTGAATTACTTATGCAAACAAAATGAAAAAATAAAATTCTACAAAGTAATTAAAAGACCTTTTAAAATTGCAAGGTGTGTGGAATTTTTAAACACACATCCACAGTTATTCTAACAAGGATAGAATCCACAATGAAATATAGTGTAAGTTTTCGTTAATACTTCACAAAAATATCCATTTGTTACACATCATATTAAAAAAAAAAAGCCTTACATCTTTAATACAGCATTCAAATCTTCCAGGGTCCACATCCATCCATGCCTAGTCTCTTGCCTTGCTTTGATGACAAAACTCACCTTCACTACTACTACTACTACTACTACTAGTAGTAGTTGTAGTAGTAGTAAAAATGGTAACATGTTCTACGCTTGGCATGTTTTGCCTCCATCATCACATCGATGTTCACAATCTCCCCCATTTTCCAGATGAGGACACTGAGGTTTGCTCCGAGACCACGTTCTTGGGCGCTGAACTCTGTGCAGATCTCACCGGCGGCCAAGGGCTCAGGTTTAGCCCGGCTGCTATGGGTTCGTGGCGCCGCCTGGAGGCCCGACGGGGAACATGGCAAAGAACTTATAAATGAGCGTTTGGATTTCTGTTGGTGAGGGTAGACGAGGGAGGCAATCCAGGATCTGTGGACTCCCCATTTTGCTGTGTTCTCGGAGAGCCCTGGAAGTCTGAGACGCGACATGACCTTGGCCTAGGAGATGGAGGAGACACATCTCCCAACCTGAGGCGTTTGAGAGGGACATGGCCTTGCCCTGGGTGATCTAAGAGAAGAGGCACGGTCCGACAGGCCCAATCCTGAGAGCTTTGTGTGTGAGATAACGCCCTGTATTTAAATAAAAGAACAAAAAAACAAAACCACCACCGTTATTGAGTACGAACCACCACCTAGAATCCTGGAGGCCCAGTGGGGGCGGGACCCGGAGGGCGTGGCCGACATAAAAGCCTAACAGTTATTGGTCATATTCCCTTAGGTGCCCACCCCACAACTGCCTAACCATGACGGGGAGGGGCCACTTTCCAAGACTAAACGCTCATTGGGTGAATCATGAACGTTTCCTTTGAGCAGGGAGGTCTCATTGGCTGGATTCCTACACCGGTTCTTTAGGGGCGGGATCCAAGAGGGGGCGGGGCTTCTGGCTTTGGGGTCTAGCTGCCGGGTGTCGCAGAGGGTCTTTTAGGCCAGCAGTGAAAACTGGGGTCTGGGGGTTAGTCTTATGGCGGAGGTGAGGGTACGCTGGTGCGGGCCCCGCCGTCCTCGCTCTTGTACACCTTGCTTCCCAATGCCGAATACAAATGGAGCGGGCGGCGTTGCGGATGTGACGTCATCGCGAGGCGTCGCGAGAGTCCGGAGGAAGCCTTGACCTCTCTAAGCGTACCGAGCTGCGCTGCAATGCTGCAGCTGGTCCGGGCCGGCGTGCGGGGCTGGCTTCGGCCCACGGGCTGCCGGGTGAGGCCGGGGACTGAGGGCAGGGTCGGAGGACAAAGTCTGGAGGGTCTGGGGTACCTCTCTCACTCTCGCCCACCGCTTACAGGGCTTGAACGCGCTGACAGAAGAGGCAGTGCAGCCAGTGGAAAAGCCAGAGCTGGTGGCGAGCTCGGGTGAAGGTTGCTGGGGTCGCCCTAGGAAAGGCGGTGATGGGGAACTCTGACCCTTGCCCCTAACCCCTGACCTCCTAATCGCTCCAGATCCCCAGACGCCCGTGCTGCGCAGGTGCGAGCTCCCGGTTCCCGCGCACCGGCGTCCGGTGCAGGCCTGGGTCGAGTCCCTGCAGGGCTACCAGCAGGAGCGCGTGGGTCTGACCGAGCTGCACCCGGACGTTTTCTCCACGACGCCGAGGTGAGTGGGAGCTGAAATGGTGAACTGAGTGACAGAAAGGGAGCGCGAGTTTGGGAATCAGAATGACCTGGGCAGGAGCCTCGATGTCTCCACCTGTCAGAAGCAGGTGATCTTTCCTGCTGAAGAGTTGGTGTGAGGTTGAGGGCTGAGAGTTAAGGACGCAAAGCTCTGGAACCTGAGTGACACTTTTCACATCCTACCTTCCCCCTTGTGCTTCAGTGTCTCCATTCTGTCAAACTTCAAGCGATTAGAGATAATTCTGGCTCATAATACATGCTATAGAAATGTTGGTTATCGTTGCTGTTATTGGGGTTTTTTGGGGTTTTTTTTGTTTCTTTGAAAATATGAGCACTAACAATGGCTAAGTCCTTAACCAAGTGCTTGGCACAGCCTATTTGCATTCTAGTTCACTAGATCTTATTTTATAGTTAAGGAAATTGAGCACAGACAAGTTAAGAAATTTGTCCACGGTCACACAGCTTGTAAACTTTAGAGCCAGGATCTCAACATTATGTCGGCCAACTCCCAGGACCAGGTTTTTGTTGCCAAGGTGTATGATGTCTCTTATGTGTACTTATGTGTCTGGCACATAATAAGTACTGCAGTTAATTTACTATTTCTGCTATGTGTATGGGTTGCCCCCATCTTTACAGAGTCTCAGTCTGGTAGAGGGCAACAACAACAAAAATGAAATACATACTGGGTTTTGTTTATTCAGTAAATACTTAAGAAGCACCTACTATGTGCCAGATTCCATTCTAGGTGTTGGGAATGAGCTCCGAGGTTGCTGATGTTGCTCACAGTCTAGAACAGGGGTCAGCAAACTTTTTCTATAAAGAGCCAGAGAGTAAGTGTTTAAGGCTCTGCAGGCTATAACGTCTCCATGGCAACTGTTTATCATTGCCAATGTAGTGCAAAAGCAACCTTAGACAACATGTAAGTGAATGAGTGCGGCTGTGTTCCAGTAAAACATATTTACAAAAACAGGCAGCCAGCCAGCTTTGGCCCACTAGCCATGGTTTGCCAGCCTCTGGCAAACCACCCTGCTGTCCTGGCCATTGTGAGCCACATGTGTCATTTAAGTTCTTCTGGTTGCTACATTTTCTTTCAAGTAGTGAGAAACAAGTGAGACTGACTTCAATAATATATTTTGTTTAACCTGAGAAGTCTAAGAAATTGTTATTTCGACATGTGGCACTGGCCACATTTGAGGTGTTCAGTAGAGGTAAACCAGTCCATAAAGAAGTGGCAATGAGTAAGTTGTAATGGTGAGAAAAGAATAAGGGGTGGCTCTCCAGCAAAGGGGTTCCTTTTGGAGATACCTTTCCAGCTAAGACCTATGGGCTGAGAAGGAACTCGCCAGGGGAAAGGCGTTTCAGGCAGTGGAAACAGCACGTGCGAAGGCTTGGAGGCTGGACTCCACAGAACTCCACGAAATGGAGTGGGGCTGGAGGTGGTGCAAGATGGGGTCAGAGAAGGGTAGGGGCAGATCACACAGGGCCCTGGAAGTGGGTGGGAGGAGCTGAGGTTTTCATCTAGTGGTGCAGGGAGGGTTTTAAGTGAACACAGGCCTCTCATGTCTCCTTCCTCCACAGGTTGGATTTCCTGCACCAGGTTGCCATCTGGCAGAAGAACTTCAAGAGAATTGTGAGTGCCCCGAGTTGGGGGGAGGCGGGAGGAGGTCGAGGACGCCCCTGGCGTGTCTTCTCTGGATTGCTGGGCTCTGGCCTCATCTCTCTCCTTAACCACTCTGGGACATTTGTCAGGCATTTTCTGAACACCCACCATGCACTGGGCATTCTTCTGGTAGACATGACAGGCAAGATCCCTGCTCTTATGAAGCTAGTTCACAGTCTAGTTGGAGAGGTGAATGTGAATCAAGAAGTCATACCTGTAAGTGTATCATTAGGGAAGCTGTCCCAGAGGAAGGAGCATTTAACCTCAGGTGTGTCAGGTAAAGGGGGCAGTGGGGCTGGGGTGGAGGGAGTGGGAGCAGAGTCCCTGTGGCAGGGATCAGAAGGAGTCCAGTGTGGCCATGGAGCTCAGCAGGAGTGATGTGCGGTGTTTGGATCTCATGCCAAGAGCATTGAAGATGCCGCTACCAGTCAGAGTCTGCCTTCCACCTGCCTATCTCAGAAGTCCGGCAAGTCCTCCCTGGCTCTCCATTGCCCTGGGAATGAATTCATCAGCCTGGCATTGGAAGCCCCATATGAACCCACACCCCTGACCTCTCCCCGATTCTCTCTAGCCACATCTGTCCCCATGCCTCACCTTCCTTTTAGTTACAACCACATGAAAATCATTCAAAAAATACTAAGCACCTACTGTGTGCCAGGCAGCAGAGCCCCTGCCTTTCTGAGGCTGACATTCTGGACTGGAGGAAGGAGGCTTTGATTTCTTTATCCTTCCCTCCCTCCCAAAGTGCTCTGTGCTTGTCCTAATGAAGCCCTAGTCTCTGTGCCTCCTGTCTGGCTCCCCGGTGCCAAGCCTGTCTACCTGGCTCACTGCTGTATTCCTGGGCCCGGCGCCTCTGGGCTGCAGTGGCACCCACCTTATGAACCTGACTCTCCTCACTCTGCACCCACAGAGCTATGCCAAGACCAAGACTAGGGCAGAAGTGCGGGGTGGTGGCCGGAAGCCCTGGGTACAGAAAGGCAGTGGGCGTTCCAGGCATGGCAGCATCCGCTCCCCAGTCTGGCGAGGAGGTAAGCAGGGCAGGTCGAGGAGGGGGCTCTATGGCGCAGGGTCAGGTGTTTCTTCACAAGCATCTTGCGAGATGGTTATCCCCATTCCCTCCACCTCACCGGCCACGAGCAGTCAGATCAGAGCATTATCCACTTCCTCCCATTTCCCCACAGTTCTGGCCTTGGCCTCTCACCAGACTCTGGCCACACCCTCTTTTTGCCCCACCTCCCATCTCTCCTCTCCTGGCCCACACTTCACACAGCACCCAGACAGATCTTCCCAGACCTTCCAGCCCCTGTGGCCTTTGTGTGAAGTCTGAGCCTCTTACCTTGGCATTCCAGGCCCTCTCTGACCACACAGCTGAGTCAGAGTCTTGTCCCACTTACCTAGTCAATTCCTCTCATCCTTCTGATGTGTTTGGGCCATGCCTCCTCCAGGAAGCCCTCCCCAACCCTCTTTGGGTCCCCCCACCTGCCACAACCCCTTGTGCTGCCCCACACAGTCCTGGTTCCCACCACGGTCAAGTTTCTGAATATGAACAGAGTGAGGACAGGGATCTTGTACATCTTGTTCCCTGCACACTCCCAGGGTGGCCCCAGCAGAGGGAGGACACGTGGGTAGACCATTGTCACTCAGGGTCGATGGCTGAGGAAACCAAGACCCAGTGAGGCACAGTTACCTGTCCTAGGTGATGCCCGATCCAACCTCCCCTCTCCATCCCTACCTGAGGCCCTGCCCTTTTTGCTGGAATTCAGCCTGGCTAGTGGCAGCATCCCTACCACCAGCCCTGTGCCAGACGCTGGGGCAAATTGCTGACCTCCAAGCCCAGCTGGGGCCTTCACCTATTCACGTACCTCTCCCCTCGCAGGAGGCATTGCCCACGGCCCCCGGGGCCCCACAAGCTACTACTACATGCTGCCCATGAAAGTGCGGGTGCAGGGCCTCAAGGTGGCACTGACCGTCAAGCTGGCCCAGGTACAGCCTGGGGCCCTGGGGTGTGGGCTGTTGGGGCTGGGGAGCCCAGGATGCAGCCGGGACCTGCAGGTTGGGGGCCGGGGGAGGGGCTCAGACTCCTTTCCTTCCACCAGGATGACCTGCACATAGTGGACTCCCTGGAGCTGCCGACCACAGACCCCCAGTACCTGATGGAACTGGCCCACTACCGCCGCTGGGGGGACTCCGTGCTCCTTGTGGACTTGTAAGGGTGCAGGGTAGAGCAGGGGCGGGGGCTGGGCTCTGTCCCCTGCAGGACTCACCTTCTGGCCTCTGTTTCAGAGAACACGAGGACATGCCTCAGAACATTGTGGCAGCCACCTCCAGACTCAAGACCTTCAACCTGATCCCTGCTGTGGGTGAGCAGAGGGCCCCGGGCCACCTTCCAGGCCCCCAGAGAGTGCACAGGCCAGTTCAGGTCCTGTCTGTGACTCACCATCCCCCACCCAGTCCTCAGCTTACCCAGATGGAGCATTGGGAGAATGATGTCCACGCAGTGCTGGGCGTGGAGCAGAGGCCCACTGGCTGTCCTCACCCAGCTCCTCACTCAGAGACACGGGGTCAGGGCTGTCCTGAGCACGTCACACCCATCACTGCATTGATGAACCCCCAGAGCTCTCTCCTGGCCTCTGGATGGCATGTCTGGCTGCCTTCTGGGAAGCTGCTTCTGAGGTCTCATAGTCCTTCTGGCTCACAAGGACTCCTTCCTCCCTGTGGCTGAGGCCCCAAACCACACTGTCACTCACCTTCCACTCCATCTCCTGCCCAGACCAGGAGTTGCCTCTGCCCTGGTCCCCACCAGTGCCTTTTGGCCACCAGAGGGCGCCTGTGGGCACCTGAATCAGGTCCTGTCCCTCTGCCCGTAACCCTCCAGGGCTCTCCTGCTCCGGGTAAAAGCCCAAGTCCTCCCCAAGGCCCCCAGATCCTGCAGGACCTGCCCTCCCGTCCCTTCACCCCCGCCTTGCTCACAACTGCAGCCCCACGGGCCTCCCTCAGTATGTCGTGCTTATTCCTCTGCTCTGTTTATCATGTCTCTCCCACTGGAGTGAGGGGTGGAATCACTCCTGACCCCGAGACAGAGTGGGCTCTCGGGAGGCCCGTCGGAAGTTGATGAGCTGAGGACAGTCCCTTGCCCAAGGTCTCTGGTGGCGAGTGGCTGAGATGGGGATTGAACCCAGGCTGTGGGGCTCCAGACCCCACACCAGACCAAGGTGTCTCTGTAAGGGGGATGCTCCCCTGAGGAGGGGAAGGGGCTCCAGACGTGGAGGGCAGCCCGCCCTGACTGCCCCCTGCCCCGCCCCCAGGCCTGAATGTGCACAGCATGCTGAAGCACCAGACCCTGGTCCTGACCCTGCCGACCGTCGCCTTCCTGGAGGAGAAGCTGCTCTGGCATGACTCGCGCTACACACCCCTCTACCCCTTCCGCCTGCCCTACCGTGACTTCCCCTGAGCCCGGACCACGCACCCCCACGCCCCCGGCTGCCGGCCTTCCTGCTCACTCTCTGAGCCAGGCCGAGCCCCTGGCAGGCTTGGGAGCCTCCCGCGCAGCCTGCGAGGGCGACCGGCCCTGCCCAGACCCCCTCCATCCTGGTAGGAAGCTGAGGCCACACAGAGTAGCCGAGCAGGAGTCACCACGGGAAAGGACAGCCAGCTCAAGAGCCTGTCCGAGCTCCCGCCCCAAGTCTCCCTTTTGTGTAAGATAGATTTTATTTTTCAAAGAGGAGAATCAACATCCCGTTGCCGTTTTGTGAATAATTCCATTTGGCAAGTTGGGCTCTTTCCCCATTGCTGGGCACCACTAGGTACCTCACTCCTCAAGGGGCGTCGGCACTGTTTGTAGAAATGACCCACCGTCAAGTTTCCCAGGTGAGCCAGTCTCCTGGGGCTCCCAGAGGAGCACCAGCCATCGCTGGGAGCCCACTAGTGGCGCCTCCTGGTCTCCAGCACCCTCCCTGAGCGCTCGCACCACTGACGGGGCCTGTGGTCCCCAAACACTGCGGTGCTTCCGTCTGGGTATGGGCCCGATTCCACGAATGGGTGTGATGTGGAAGCTTGAGCTTTCGCCCCAGTGATTTTCCCTACACGCGGGGTCAGGATCCGTGTGGTCAGTAAGCAAGCAAACAAACATTTTTTCAAAAACACCAAGCCAGTATCCTCATTCTTCAGCCTGCTGATGTTATTTGCCCCCTGACCCAAGTTGTTATTTTTTTAACAGTTACAAAACAGACTAAAAATGTGGTCTATTTCTTTAAAGTTGGTCAAAAGTGCCATCTCATGTGCAGGCCACAATGACCCATCTCCCAGGCTGCCTCTTACTGAAAACATGTCTGGAATGCCTCTCTTGGGAATGCCTTAAGAGCTCACAACATATTCTTTGAAAGTCCTCAATGGACATAAATTTTGACCCTTAATACGTCAGATTTGACTTAAGTGAAAAAGGAAAAGCTATCTGGAGCCAGCAGGAAGGGGGTGCAGAGGCCAGGAGGGAAATGCTGCTGGGCTGAACCCTAACTGCCTCTCCCTGTGCCTCTCACCAGCCCTGTGGTGACACCGAGGCCCAGAGTAAGAGCCAGCTGTTGTCCTGACAGCACCCAGCCTAGTCTAGAGAGCCTTGCTGGCATTCCCTGGCATTTCTTGGCTTGTAGACCCATTACCCTGATCTCTGTCCTCATCTTCAAATGGCGTCTCTGTGAGTGTCTGTGCCCAAATTTCCCCTTTTTGTAAGGGCACCAGTCATGTTGGGTCAGGGCCCACCCTAATGACCTCATCTAAACTTGATCATGTGCAAAGTGTTTCTAAATAAGATCACCACCATCCAGGGGTTAGCTTTGCTTCTTTTGAAGGGGGTTGGGGGGTGGGGGTGGGCAGGGAGGAGTAGTTGAACCCGTGGCAGGGTGTAAGGGGAAGGATGGAACACGATCAGTGGTGGGGACTGGAAGTTGGCACATGTGACTTCATCACATGTCCTCTTTGCTATTGGCTATTTTGAAATTCTAATAAAAAAGCTTTTTCTAAAAAAGAGAAATGAGTGAAGATATTTCTTAAGGGGAGCTGTTGCTACCTGCAAATCTCCATCTCACCCTCTTGGGACATGCGGTAACCCAGTGGCTGGAGAGGGAGGGGACTTCACAGCCTTTGAAAAGCATCCCTGAAGGCAGGACACCCAGGACTCAGGCTGACTCTGGTTTAAAAAAGCTCAAGGGAGCCCTTGCGGCTGAGATCTGACCCCCAGGAGACCCAGAGGGTGAGAGGCAGGCAGCGCTGGCAGTGGAGTCAGGGGTGTCTGCTGATTGGTGGTTGGCATTGGAGCCCCACTGGGAGGGATGAGAGGGTAGGACCAGACCCCAGGGGCCGACAGAAGAGCCACAACCTACATCAAAGATGCCCGCACCCCAGCGAAGGGTTCTCCAGGGAAGAGGAAGCTTCAAAAGAGCCCTTCACCCTCAAACACTTTACCATATTGCCAGGGCATCAAAAAGTAATGCCACCAGCCAAGGAGGGACCGCCCTGTCCCCTCCTCCCTGCACCTAGGCAGGAGGGACCCAAAGGCTGGTGACAGGAGTCAAGGGGGACAGAAAGAGGGTCAACAGCGGGGGAACCAGGCCCTTTGTCTCTACCAAGGCCTCCAGCCTGGAAAGGCCTGACCCGGGGCTCCCATCCAACACCAAGTCAAGTTCAGAGATTTGAACAAGATGCTGATCTGGGCCCAAGTCCCGGGCTGAATTCTCAGCCAGGGTCAAGGCCAAATCCACCACAGAATAAATTTTCAAAGAGTAGAGGAAGAAGCCAAGTTATGTTTTGATCAACATCCAAACATCATGAATTTCAGCTTCATACCCTAGAGGAACTGTGCTGCTTGATGGAACAAATCTGTGAGAACAGAGGAGGAAGTAGGTATATCTGCTGAGGACGTTTGAGGAGAGCTTCTCAGAGCTGAGTCCTAAGGAAACACAAACAGTAACTACTTACTATCTGCTCCCCCTGCCCACGAATGGTCTTACTGAAATCTCACATCCACCCTCTGAGGTGTATGTTACAGCTGAGGCCACCAAGGAACCAACAGGGGAAGTGGCTTGCTCAAGGTCACAGCTTGTGGCAGGTGCTCTTGGCACCGTGGCCACATCCCCTCGGCACTTGCTGGTCCACGCACACCCCTGGCAGCCTCTGCTGCAGGACTGTGCTGGGTTTGTCCACTGGATGGGTCAGAAAGGCTGTGGAACCACAATAACATACCACCTGCCACCAATTGGGAGGGCAAGAATAATAATGATAAAACAAAACAAATATTGGCAAGGATGTGACAAAATTGGAACCCTGCAAGCTTTGTATACTGCTGATGGGAGTGTGGAGTGGTGCGGCTGTTAGTCCCTCAAAAAGATAGACATGGAACTACCCTGTGACTCAACAGTTCAGCTAGGTATGGACCCAAAAGAACTGAAAACATGTCTATACAAAACCTTGTGCATGTAAGGTCATAGCATGATTCATAACAGCGGAAATGTAGAAACAACCCAAATGTCTATCAGTTGATGGATGGATAAACAAAACGTGATATATCTTTTCGATGGAATATTATTCAGACTGTGGCCTGAACATGACGGAATTTCCTCAAAAAAAAATTAAAAATAGAACTACCATATAATCCAGCAATTCCACTCTGAGTATTTGTCCAAAAGAGAACAAATTGCTATCTTGAAAAGCACCTTGTGCTCCCAGCCCTGTTCCAAACTTGTGGGTGAAATCCTCTGGTAACCTTTTGTAAAAGCGATAGGAAGGGAATTCTGGGTTGGGGGAACAGCACATGCAGAATGCCCAGAGAACAAAAGAAGTCCACGTATTTGGCACATATGTCTTAACCATCTGCCTGTAATGACTAGACACTGATGCAGGTGCTGGAACTGACAGGGTCCCTGGCCTTCCAGAGCTCACACAAAAGCAGGTGACAGGCAATCAAGTCAAAAGTATTTCAGCAAGTGAATGAAGTTTTAGGAATGAAACCATTAGGGCAAGTGACAGGGAATGACCAGGGTGTGGCCCAAGATGGAAGGGGCCAGGGAGAGGAGGAGGCTCAGGCTACAAGAAAAGAAGGGCTGGCCACATCAGGGATGAGGGAAAGAGTGTTCCAGGTCAAGGAACTGCGGGATGGCCACGTCAGAGCTCAGAATGAGCGGCGAGCAGACATGATGCCATGGAGTGGGGTTAGGGTAGTTCTCCTGGGTCCACAGCCTCTGGTCTGCAGCGGGTCCATTTCCTGACCTTCCCGAGACTCGTTGGCACCCTGGAGGAAGCCCTGCCCTTCCTGGTGGTTGCAGCCCAGGATTGGGGTGCGTCTACCTTCCTCTCTTTAAAAGAAGTACAAAGGCTGTGTACTAGTGGGAGGTGCATGCTTCCTCTGCCAAATGACTCCCCATTTTCAGCCCATCCTTATCTCAGGAAATGGCCCTCCACTCTTTCTGGACCTCAGACCAGGACCAATTAGTTGAACTTGATTCTGCCCTGCCCCCAAGTCCCAGCAAGTACTAGCTGGCCCTGCTCCCAAAATGGATGCCAAATTTGACCACTTCGCCAGGGCCCACCCCAAGCTCCATCACTGCTCCCCTGCATAGGAGCAGTCACCTCTTCTCTGGTCTCCTGGCTTCCTCCCTCTCCCACCCCTTCCTCCCCACCATCTAACTGTAGCTCCTGCCATCTCAGGAGGGTGCCTGTAAACACCTGAGCCAGGTGTCCCGCCTCTACTCAGAGCCCTCCAGGGCTCCCGCCTCACTCAGACAAAAGACCAAAGTCCTCCCAGGCCATGCTCTGCCTCATCCCCTCCCTGCCCTCCTCTCTTCTCCAATTCTCTCCCTCCCTTACAGCACTCCAGCAACACTAGCCTCTTGGACGTTCCTTAAGGCAGTTCCTACCTCAGGGCCTTTGCACATTCAGTGCTCTCTGCCTGGGACACTCCTTCCCTGATGTTGTCAGGACTCTCTCCTCACCTCCCTCTGGTCTTCACTCAGTCTTTCCCAGAATACTCTATTTAAAAGTTCATTAACCCTCACATTTCCTATTCCCTTCTCTGCTTTACTTTTCTCTTGGCACTAATCACAAGCTAAGTCTCCACATATTTTATTTTCCTTTCTTTCTGTCGTCCTCACTAAGAGGATCTCAGCACAATGGCAGACATTTTTGTCTATTCATTGCTGTGTCCTCAGCACCTGGAAGGATGCCTGGCAAACAGTGGGCTCTCAATCAACACTGAACAGCGTATTGAGAGACAGAAGGGAAAAACCATGCTTTTATGGCTGAAAGGGGGACCTGGGCCGCGCGGGGGAGCTCTCCGCCCGCGCACGTCGGACAGAGGCCAAAGGATGAGGTGACGCCAGTCTAATAAAAATACGCCGGAAAATGACCCCCGGCAGAGGATTTTCCCAGACCCTCCCAGGGATATCCCCGGTTCCGACTCTGCGCCTTTGCCCAGGCGGTTTAGGGCTGGATTTCAGCACCCTCCACCCTCCAAGAGGAAAGATCCCCGTGTAAAATCCTTAGGAATAATCAATCGGGGTGGAGCGACGGACGGTTTTCTGACTAAAGAGTGACTCGCAGCTCCTTCCCCGAGAGGAAGGGCCCGAGCGTCCCTGAGGCCCCCCTCCCTTCCCCTTCTGCTGCGCGACCTCCTTGGCCCCTCTGAGGTCTCCATGGCGACGCGGCGCGCGCCCCACAACAGGAAGCCTCGCTGCCCGCTCGGAGATTCCAGGGTCCCCGGCCTTGATGCGGTGGTTGCCGTGTCTTGGGGTCACACGCGCAGGCGTGGCCTGTGTGCGGGGTGGGGGCGGCCTATGACCGCGGCACTATGCCTCCGCGAGGCCTTAATGGAACTAGCCCGGGCATGCACCCGCAGAGCCTTGGTGCAGGCGCTAAGGGTTCGAGTTTCGGCAGCTGCGCGGAGAGGGCGGGGGTTTGAATGCCTCCCCCCAACTTCGGGGCCTCGGAGCTGCCTCAGTTTCCCTGCAGAAGGCAAAGATTCGAGTGCCCCCTGTCCCCTCTCCCGTCAAGGTCGGCTGCCTCAGTTTCCCCGCGGAGCCTGGGAACGGTAGCCGAGGGGCTCCACGCGTCAGGACCACGCGGCTTCCTTCCTTTTTCTGGAAGCTGTAAACACGCCCCTGAGGCCCAAAAGGAGAAGCGAGGCCGCGGAGATTGGGGGCTGGGGGGTGGGAGCGCCCATCCGAGTGGGATACGGAGCCCCGGACGTGATGCACTGCGCGTCCTCACCCCCCAGGGTTCACGGGCGCCTGGAGAAGCCTGGGCCTGCTGCGGTCGCTTCTCGAGAAATCTGTGTCAGCTGGGCGGGGACATGCCCCGTGGAGGAGGGGCACCCTTGATTGAGAGGGCCCTAGGAGGATTCCTGGGCTCCCACCCAAGCGAGGGACCATTCACTCGGTTAAAGATGCCTGCGTGCGCTAGGGAATCAGCCTTGTGTTCGAATACCCTCCAGGCTGGAGCCTCAGTTTACCCGTCTGGGGAACGGGCACAATAATAATCCCCACTGTCCAGGCTGGTTGGCGGTATTCCGTAAAGGGCTTAGCGCAGTGTAAACGCAGAATCAAGGTTAGCCCGGCCCAGGGACGTGACCCCTAGCGCCTGGAGCAGCTCCAGGGTTGTTGTCGGGCGCCGCTGCCAGGCGGCCTTCATTACTTCAATTCGGAAATTCCGGTGCTTGAGCGGCCAGCGAGGGGGCCCAACCTGGCTCAGGCCCGGCACCCTCTCAATCCGGAAACGCCTGAGTCTTCGTTCCGGAGGGGAAAGCGCGAGGTTTCCGGGAAAGCAGCACCGCCCCTCGGCCCCCGGTGGCCGGCGGGCATATAAGGACCCGCGCGGTCGTCGGCGCCACAGTCCGCCAGCCACACGCCTCCGCGCGTCTGTGTCACCTCGTCCGCCCTACCTCCGCCCGTGATGGCTCCCGGCGCCGCCCATCCCGCGTCGCTTGCGCTCCTGGCCCTGCTCGGGGCTCTGCTCCCAGGTGAGTCAAGGG